TCTCATTTTAGTATATTATTTGGCATACAGTTCAGTCAAAAACTTGAGGGCGCAAAAAACCGGCGAAAATATAAAAAGTGACTTTTTTTTAGATCATTTTTTATATTTGTATATATAAAGATTATGTTAAGTTCAGATTGTTATTTTAATATGTTATAATGTTATTTTATTATTCCAATCCAAGTAATGACAATTTTAATTTTCTGTCAAAAATTATTACTCTTCGAAAAAAATTAATATATCAAATGAAAAATTAAAACTCAAATGCTATAATCTTAACTAATGAAGTTAAATTCTATTGTATTAAATTAAAAAATAAAAATGGTATTGTCTCTTGTTATTTACTTAACTCTAATAATATGTATCATTTGTATAAAAGATTTGATATCAACAAAATTGGTTCCAAGTGAAATTCCTTAAAATTTTATGTATTATTCATAAAAAAGATTTGATATCAATAATTGGCGCCAAGTTAAATTCCATGTAATTTTGATATCAAATTATATAAATAATATTAACTTTAATGATATTCCTATAAAAGATTTGATATCAAGAACTGGCGCAAAATTAAATCCAATTCTTTATACCATGCTAAATAATGAATATTAATCTAATAATATGTATCATTTGTATAAAAGAATTGATATTAACAATTGTAGCGCCAAGTTGAATTCTACTACAAAATAAAAAATAAAATCCAAGTGATACTATCTTTATTATTATTTACTTAATCCAAATGGTATTATCTTTAATTTTTATGAAACCTAAGTATACGTATGTCTTATTGAAGGATTTTCCTATTCCAATCCAAATAGTTTAAATTCTTCTTAAATGAAATTATTATATCACAATTCATTCAAAGACATTTTCTCTTCCAACTGAAGTAATAGTTATTTAATTCTCCTTCAAAATATTAAACAAAACATTATCACAACATTGCGTTATCTTGCTCAATTTAAGTGTTATCACAAAACATTAAAGAGTTAACCGTATAAAACGAAAAAATTTAATTTAAATAGAAAAATTTTTCGTGTAAAACACTTTGGCGCTGCTAGATCTTGACATAATAATAAAATATAAATATAATATTGGGTCATCTAAAAAGTATCTGCGGTTTTTTGTCACTAGATGTGTGTTGATGGTCATATATCTAGTGACAAAGTACCGCGGATACTTTTTAGATGATCCAATATTTAAAAAAATACGAAAAATAAGAATGTAATACTTAGAAAATGTAATATTTATATATTTATATAAAAATAATATAAATAAGAAGCATATTAATATGAAAAATTAGAATCATATTAAAAAATATTAAAAAATATAAACAGGATTTTGCTTCGTATTATCGACACGAAATAAAATTCTGCTTTCTGATTGGTTGCAGAACGTATGATGCATGTCGAATCCAGTCTAAATCCAGCAATTGATCCAAGGAAATCATTTTTCTATGTCCCATTGAGCGGAATTTGCGGATGCGGAATCAATACGAGTCGCTATTTCTATAAATAAATCTAAATAAATCTAAATAAATCTAATAAATCTAAATAAAGCAGAGGAATGAAAATTTTACTGCAGTGTCTGCAGTGTATGTTTGCATCACAATATTTCGTCAGTGTGATCAACTTCTTAACTTGAATAGTCATCGATTTCAATAACTAATCACGGTTCATGAGGCAAAGCGACTTTTTTTGTTAAATTTTTACTTATTTTTAACGATGCAAAAATCGATGCGCATCGATTGGATATATTTTCATACTATTATTAAACCCGATTAAGAATACCATACAAATGTATTCACAGTTTCTCAACAACATTTTTGATATTATTTGGATAACCTAGACATTTAATTACGCGAAAATGCATCTAAACTAAAAGTATTTTTATCAATATTTGAGGTAACCGGAACCTAATATTATATATAATATAATTTTAGCCACAATCGCACTTATTAAACTCCTCCGCAATCGCGTTACCATAAAATAAAGCGGCGTCTACAATGAGATTTTAAGTCGTAAAACTTAAGCTTTAAACCTTAAGTTATAGATTTAAGAAATTAACCAATTACAGTCGAATGTCTGGAGAACAATCGACTATAATTGGTCAATTTTTTTACGGCTTGAAGTTTAAAGCTTAAGTTTTATGCCTAAAAATTTCAATGTAGACGTCGCTTAACAATAATGTCAATAACTGTAACTCTCTGCTGCAACTTATTAATCTCTGCAAAGTGTAGAATGTGTAAAATGTGCAGAACTGTCGCAACGCTCGCTGACCATGTGTGATGTGACCATGCATTGCTAGCGTCACATTTGCCTCTTGCGCCAAAAATTCCAAAAGAACATCCCCACTTTGTAGCGGCGATGACGACGATGACGACGACGACGGCGACGTTTCTTAATTTTTTCTTAATAAAAGTTTCAAATTCGTATTTTGTATAACAATATTTCCGCTCGTAGAGCACGTAGAGAAAAAATAAAAACACTTTCATTATATTGGGTCATCTAAAAATTATCCGCGGTTTTTTGTCACTAGATGTGTGTTGATGGTCATATATCTAGTGACAAAGTACCGCGGATTTTACTTTTTAGATGACTCAATATATCCCGAGCGGTTGCAATCGATTGAACACACTTAGAACTTGACTGGTTCAGCCCTTATTGAGATCTCAATCTGGCGCAACTCGCCGACTTACGTAAAGTACCCACAGCAGTGTCGCTACGCGTAGCTTAACGCCAAGACACTACCAATATCTGATTACTGATATTTATGGTACATAAATTGATAAATATTAAAAGATATTTATAAATACTTATAACATTATCTTCAGATCTTACTTATATCACCATCTTCAAATTACTGATATTTATGGTATATAAATTGATAAATATTAAAAGATATTTATAAATACTTATAACATTACATTTAAAATCGCAATTTAAGTACAAAAATTTATCAATAATACAATTTAGTCAATACATTCATTGTGTACCAAAAATGTATACAAAGAATTAAGAAATTTACAATGATCTTATTTAATATTACATTTTAATGAAATACAATTTTTAGTAATATATTATAATTTTAGAAGAAAAAAACTTTTTGGCAGGAATAACATTCTCATGATAAACAATAATTCTTTTTTTTTATATTTGCCATAAAAGAATAATTTGTAATACTTTTTGGTCCATAATTTAATTTTTCAACCAAGATAAGTATTTTTTATATAGTTGAAAGTACACTAAAGAAACATTTTTAACAAGAAAATATTAGGGGAGATCCCGTTCGCTACAATTCTTTCTTCGATTGCTTACAGTATTGTTTGCCTCACTTTTGCCGATAGTTCGTTTGTGCACAAAAATTATTGCCTACAACTCAATTGCATACATGCATTTTTACGCACAAATAAAAATTTTAGAAACGGAGCTTTACATTTGTTTACATGTATTATTGCCTATATGTATTCCCGGTCAAATATGATAATGGAATCGACGTTGATTCGATGTCGATTCTATTATCATTCTGACTGGGTTATTGCCTACAGTATAAGTACATACAGTATGGACACTGAACTTTTGATGTGGCCTCCAATTTTTAATACGCATGCGTCGATTTCCAACCAGGAAAATGGTTGCCTTCAGTAAGTTGAAATTGCATGTTAGATTAGCTGTATCTCCTTCCCATAAAATATAATTAACCCTTTCGCCTACAATATCGTATGAGACTCGTGGTAAGGAAATCGGGCCAAACATGAGTACACGAGTGAGAGCCATGATCATTCGTATAAAGCTTAATTTTTTTTTAATTTAAAAGAAAAGGGTAAAGGGTTAATAAAATTAAGTTTTACTAAAAAATTAAATCAAATTTTTTTAGAGACGCTATATTGTGTAGACTGTTATATTTGTATACGATAAAGTATTTTTGTAATAAAGTATGCATTTTGTGCGCGCGCGCGCGCGCGCGTGTGTGTGTGTGTGTGTGTGTACGTGCATACATTATTAAATTACAACTTCACATTTAATTACAATTTTCATGCAATATATTATTTTTTCATACATAATTATTCAATTACAATTCGTATAATATTTAATCAATTATTATTTTTAATTTACTTAGTACTGTTTAATATTATTATTATTATTAATGTGAATATTATCTTTATATAATGAGTTCGTACATTATATTATATAATTCTGATTTAAAAATATATTCGCTATAAACAATTTTGATGACATGACCGAATTATATTTTTTTTTTTTTTTTTTTTTTTTTTTTAGAAAAATTATTCTATAGCTTTATTAAAACTTAAATTTATATTTATAAGCGCCTTTCCAATCCACAATATGGCGGCGAGTCATATAACCCGGGTCCCACTACATCAAAGGTGCCGACGCTCAGTGTCCATACTGTATGTATTTATACTATACCTACAGCTCGATTGCTTACAAGCACTTTTGCGTACAAATGTAAAATTAAAGTTAAGTAAGAAAATAATTTGTCGTGGTAGATATTGACAACAACGGAAACAGTTCTGTTCATAAGAATGAATATTTATAATGATACTTTTGAATACCAAATGTGCAACAGTACAATTATGGAAGTGTGTGCCCCTTGCAGGAGAGGGAGGGAGGGAAGTAGGGTGAGAATCGCTTCGCTTAGAAACGGGAAAATATAAAATAGTTTAATGTCAAATAAAATATATGTAGGCAATAATACATGTAGGCAAAAGTAACTCTGTTTTCTAAAATTTGTATTGTACGCAAAAGTGCTTATAGACGAGCTGTAGGCAATAGTATGTAGGCAAACATGATATTTTCTCTGAAAATTTTATTTGTGCGCAAAAGTACTTTCATTATAGACAATCAAGTATAGGTAGTAATTTTTGTGTGCAAACTATCGGCAAAAGTGTTATAGGCAAATAATACTATAGGCAATCGATTTATTAGTAAGAGGAGCCATTTTAAATATTAGACATAGATTAATTTATCATGGATTCTCCATGACTAATTATTATCAATTTTCTGAAGTAGTTCTATTACATGATCATACATTAAAGTTTTAACATCAATGGCAATTAGAAAATCTGCATGAGAAAATAATTTATATGCAATTTCTTCTAGCAGGATAACATTTGGCAAGCGTTTATACGTTTCCCATACATTCTGAAAATATGAAAAATGATAAAATAATGACATATAATAATGAAATATAAACAATTACTTTTTAAAACAATTATTTATTATAACCAATAATAATTTAATCGAGATCACTATATGAATAATAAAGATAAAGAAAAGGCCAATATAATCTAGAGAAGCTAGATATCTAATAATATTTTTATATTAAAATTCTATATCTTTAATATAACTCATAATAAAAGCTAGATAACTCATAATAATCTTTCAATTACATAAACTATACGCCGCTTACGGACTGGAAACACAATTATAAACTAAAGTTTAAATAATATTAGGTGTTGGAATTAATTCGTAGCGTTTTTTAATGAAAGAATGTTATTTATTTCACATGAGCATTAAAAAATACATTAATGAAAGTACTTCCCATCACTTGTAAAACGCTACGAATTAATTCCAACACCTAATAATATGAAATATCATAATTATGAATTGATTGTCGATTTGATGTCATGAAACAATCATGCAATTATTTCTTGAATTTCTTCTATTTGTATTTAGGTAGATAATAATATTATATAATTATATAGGCTGGAAAAGTGAGAGAGATCAAAGTGAGAAAAAAAGAAGAAAAAGAGGAATTAGGAAATGGATGATAGGAAGAAAAAATAAAGAAAAATTCCATATAATATTACGAAATTGCGACTCTATTTAAAAATTCAAAGTAATCTTAAATTATTTATAAAGAAAGAATATTTTCAATTTTTCATCCAATTATAGCTGGTATGAAACTGATCAAATTCTTGCTATAAATATACTATATACTTATGTGTGTAATATACTGAACTCGGTAAAAATAAGTGATACGACTTATTTGCAGTAAAAAATATAAAATAAGTTGCAAGAACTTATTTAAAATATTAGGTGTTGGAATTAATTCGTAGCGTTTTACAAGTGATGGGAAGTACTTTCATTAATGTATTTTTTAATGCTCATGTGAAATAAATAACATTCTTTCATTAAAAAACGCTACGAATTAATTCCAACACCTAATATTTTATAAGAAATAGATCACAAGAAATTATTTAAAATAAGATATACACTAATAAGAAATACACTGGCGGAAAAAAATGAAGAGGTCCAAAAAAACCTACATAAATTAAGGTAAAATCTTAGAAATTCTTAATTTTTCATAGATATTCGTAGATATAATGAAAAGTAGAGTGAGGTTTATATCTTAGAAATTCTTATACATCGTTTGCAATGAACAGTAGAGGGTGCAGACACATAGGGAATAAGCTGATTTTTTGGCTCAGCCAGAATTGATCGATCAACGTCAAATCGATGTTAATTCAACATCGATCGACGTTAATTCGATAATTCGATTAATCACTTGTAGCTGGGTATGTAATAGGGCGTAGAGTAAGTCTGTAAGCGAAATAGATTTCACTCATTTTGCTTACGGACTTACTTTACACCCTATTACATCTCCAGCTACAAGTGATTAATCGAATTATCGAGTTAATGTCGAGCGACATTGAATTAATATCGATTTGACGTGTTTTCTACCCCAGTTAAAAGTTATTGTTGTTAAAGGTATATATTATTTATTAGTGATTGTTCTATATACACGCACGCACGCACGCACGCACGCACACGCACACACACACACACACACACACACACACACACACAACAGAGAAAATATTTATTATTATTTAATGACATTATGTAAGAATATTAAATCAACATTTTTTGAAAAAATTAAAGAAAAACTGAGAAAATATTAAACAAATAAGAAAAGCACATTGAGTAGTTTATTGTAACAGTGTTTACAAAAAATGAAGATATTAGTTAATGAAACACTTTTATAAGACAAGTTTTTTTATAAAATTGTATCATTAAATGTTCATATAAAGACTTATTGTTATTAAAAAAAATAATAAAATATATTACGTAAAATTCATTTTATAATAACCTAAAATGAGGCTAACAAGGAGAGACTCACATAAGTATTTCACGGATTTTGATCAGCTTTTGCATAATTATTCTTGGACACTAAAAAATAATCTCTTTAAAGCAGTAAATTGCACCTCTGCGTATTTTCGAGAAAATCATGATTTTAGGTCACGACGACGGATCGCTTTCAAATTTGAGGGAATCGATAAATATTTAAAAAGCGAGTAATTTACACACACACACACACACACACACATTAAGCAATTAATTTTTAATGTCACCGTTTCTAACTTTTATTTAAAATAAAAAAATAACTTGCCTTTTATCTTAAATAAGTTTTCGAAGGCTATTTCTTATTTTAAATAAAAAATATTAGGTGTTGGAATTAATTCGTAGCGTTTTACAAGTGATGGGAAGTACTTTCATTAATGTATTTTTTAATGCTCATGTGAAATAAATAACATTCTTTCATTAAAAAACGCTACGAATTAATTCCAACACCTAATATTTTTCGAAAACTTACTTGAAATATAAAATAAAAATTATGTATTTTAAATAACCGTTTCAAATAATAAATACAAAACATTTTAATGATTTCGTTTATTTGAATATATACGAATATACAGAGTGATTTTAACATATTTCGTCACCCATCATGAGTAGGTAGAGAAAGTCCCGCAATAGTTAATAAGATATTAATTGCCAAATATTGGTCTTGAATAATTTTTTACTCAAATACCATCAACTTTACAGAAAAACTGCAAGAGACAAAAATCATTTATTTTCTTTTCATAAAACTCTAAGAATTTTTTCAGAATGTTTTATCAACTTTTTACTATATTTTCTTATTTTATCAACATAATAAAATAATATACGATACATAAATAAAATACGATACTAAAAAATTCTGAAAAAATTCTGAAAAAATTCTCAGAACTTTATGAGAAGAAAATAAATAATTTTTGTCTCTTGCAGTTTTTCTATAAAGTTGATAGTATTTGAATAAAAAATTATTCAAGATCAATATTTGGCAATTTTTAGTAATTAATATCTTGTTAACTATTGCGAAAATTGCAAAATAGTAGAGGACTTTTCGACTCAGTTTAGTTCGTTCTATCTACACAAAAGCGATTGGCAAAAACTTTCGGTACACCATGTGTGTGTGCGTGGTGTGTGTGTGTGTGTGTGTGTGTATGTGCATCCGCGCGCGCGCGGGTGTGTGTGTGTGTCGGTATGTATATTCGATATTCTGTATTGTATGAAAAAAAAAACAGACAATTGAATACAATAATTGTAGTTTTACCATTAACGTCTTGATTCTTCTTGCTATGATAACAATACCATGGTGAAATCAGAAAGGTGAAGCATTGTGCATGATAGGGTAAGGATGAGGCGAATTTCGACCAATCAAATGCTATCGACATTGTATAGTGTTTCAAGATGTTGTCATGACAGAAATGTGTATGATAGAAATCGAGAAAAGGGCTCAAGTCACTGACAGACATGTCGCTAATTTTAAAACAGATTTATGCGATATGAAATGAAAAGATCATGTTTTAATTAAATAAATTGTTAAATAAATAATTTAATAAATTATATGTTTGAAAATGATATTTTGCCATATGATTATTTTTTGCATTGCCAATCGTCTGACTGGCCAAGCCACAATTATTTTACTGTCTACTGCGCATCTTTCAGAATGCTTCACCTTTCTGATTCTACCATGAATAATACTACGAAGAGAAAAACAAGACAAAAAATATGTCGGAATCATAGACATATACAATACAGATGATTAACTCACATTGACAAAATATTAATGTTTCATTATTTCAGAATATACATGAAACGCTATTTTCGCGACTTTTGGCAGTTTACAGTGAAAATAAAAATAGACTATGTAAACATGAGTGGAATTAATTAATTCTTTTTTTGTAAATCAAACTTCTAAAATGATAAAAAGTCAGCGAAAACTGTTAACCAATACGGAAATTTACAAAAGTTTAGCAATTTTTATATCAGCGAAGCCAAATTGACGTCATCGGCGGTTCTAGTGGTAAAAAATACAAATCGATAAAAAACTGATACAACTTATTTAAAATAACAAATATTAATTGTTCCAAAAATTTATTTAAAATATTTAATAAAAAATCAAGGTCAAAAAAAGTTATTTAAAATAACAAATACTAAATAACATTTTAATTTCTTTTTTTTTATTTGAAATATATATTTTAAATAAATTTCTTTGAAATAGGACTAAGTCCTGATAGAATACGTATAGATTCATAATAACATTTTATTCTATTTTTCAATATATATTTTTATCAAAAGAAGTTTTTATAAGAAAGTCAAAAGTGATCTTACCGCTACTGGAACAAGTACATCGTTAGCACCGTAAAATAAAGCCAAAGGCGCAGTAACTTTGTTAAGATCATACGTTATGGGTGTCATCTGTCCATATTGCTTGTAATTGCCGAAATATCCATAGTCGAAGGTTTGAAATTTTTCTGTAACACAGTCAATATTAATTATCTACATAAATATAGAATTAAAAGCAAAAGATATTTGAAGATTTTAATCTAGATAATCGTAAAATATCATGACACGTAAACAACGTGTTGAAAGAATTATTTTTGAAGAACTGTTATATAGAGTATGATCGGGTATTATGAGCACCTTAAGGGAACATTTTAATATATCTAGCATTGAAGAATAAAAAAATTTTATGCATTTAATAGATTTGTTGATGTTTTATGTATTTTAGTATTGAAATTGATTATTTTAATGCAAATTATGAAATGGTGTTGGGTACTCTTATTACTCACCCAGTTACTCTCTGGATAGGTTAATATGAGCATCCTTAGGAGTAATATGAGCACAGGAAATTTTTTGTAAGAAATTATGCAGAAATGAAAGATTGAAATATACAGAGTGGCATCAATTTATGACCCCACCCGTCTTGAGCAGGTAGAGCAGACTAAACTGAGTCGAAAAGTCCTCTACCATTTGCAATGCTCGCAATAATTAACGAGATGTTAACGTTTAAAAATACGCAAAGCCGAATACGCACGTCTGTCCGACCCATTATTGCCGAAAATACGGCTCACCGACCGCGAGGAGCGGGAATGGCCTAGCAATCGTGCCATGCCGTTCGAGTTTAGAGGTGATGTTCACGGCAGTGAGCAGTGCCCTTGCCCCACTTCCCGCGCACTATTGATGGTGGATATTCGGCACTTTAGAAATAATATCTCGATCGCTAAAATTGGAAAATGATCAAGGACTATAGGAAAAAACTCAGTTCAACTTAGTTCGTTCTGAAGCGTGCATATGTACGTACAGAAAAATGTTACATAAATATTACTTGTTTCAAGTAATAATAAGAGTATTTTAAAATTATATTATCAAGAAAATATTCTTTGTAACGATATAATCGTTACTCAAAAAAAGAAAAATAAAAATTGCGTTTTCTCTTAGCACTAGAATGATATTTTATTTAACACTATTAACTATTTTTTTCTGTATACAAATATAATTTTATCATTTTAAATTCTTGACTAATGATTAATTGTTAACATTCTCTTTAATTTAACCGTCTTTATTTAACGTAATTGTTTAACGTTCTTTTTTAATTCCCGTGTCTAATAGATCAATAATAGTCTCGGGACTTTATGAAGTTAGAATGGCTAAATATTGTTTACTTTACATGTATAACAAAATATCTTATCTCAAGATTGAGAACCTTATGAAGTTAGAGGAAAAAACGTAAGAAATAAAAAAATAATGTACCTACTTATTTAATATGATAAATATCCGAAGTACATCCAAGGACTTCGATTCATTGCTTCGGAAATTTTCACAAACTGAGAAATGACCACGTTTCATTAAGTCTCATTAGTCTAGTGCGCGATTAACGATGAAACATTATGTCCGTTTACCATTAAAGTTTTGACGTAAAGACGAAATAACCTGAATTTTTGGAAGTTTTAAAAAAGTAACCGAGGAAATTAAGAATCGAAGTTCTATACATAAATTTAGATAAAACTTTGCAGCATTGGAATGTCACGAAGACAGATGCATCTTTCTATAACAGTTGGCACTACTAGTACCAATCATTACAGAAATGTAAAAGATGCTCATATATTACCTGCAATACTCATAATATCCCAGTAAACAAGAATGGATTAAAATGGATTGAAATTTTTTTCTATCCGAATGCGTATTTTAAATAGCGAATACTTTTTTTGGATTTAATTGGATTCAATTGAATTCAATTAAATTCAATTGGATGCAATTGGATTGAAAAACTGCATTTCCTATCCAAAATTTTGTATTGAACAGTATTCATAATTGTGTTTGTGTGTACAGAAAAAACTAATATTATTTTTAAATTGAAAGGAATAGAGATATGCTCCATGCAATTCCTATAAATGAATAAAAATGCATTCAGGATTGAAAAGCATTCATTTTAACATTCGTGAATCAATATTTTTGAAAATCTGAATCTATTTCAATTCATTCTTTCAATCTATTCTTTACTAGGATCCGATCTTACCCTATTATATTAATAAAAATATTAAGAAAATAGTAAAAAGTAGAAAACTTAACAATATTCAGGTACATTTTGCACATTTTTTTTCTTTATAATTAACTATAATAGTTTATGTTAAACGTTTGAAAAGAAAAAAAATACTCACTTGTAACAAAATTTTGGTAATAATGAATTAATAATTGCATGGATGTGCCGACTGGATAATAAGATAATATTTCCGGTCTATAATAATGCCGTCTGCAACAAATAATTTTATTGAAAACAATTTAGATTTATCATTAAAATAATATACAAAGGTCGTTTGAAAAGTTTTAAGCCTCAAAATAACATTACTCATCAAAACCATTCTGATCGTACATGTCTACAATCGTGTTTTGAAAGATCTGTAAAAATTATGCCATTGTAGGTGCTCAGTTGATGTTTGACAGTTTGTATTGATGTTAGTATTTTTATAAAAATGGAAAAAAATCGAATATCGACGATCGCCATAACAAAAATTTACGAAAAATTTGCGGTTCGAATTGATTAACTACCTATTGTATCCACCAGATCTGATCTCCAACGACTTCTTCTTATTTTCTAGGCTCAAAGTTAGGCTCGGAGGACAGATTTTCAACAAACACTGACACTGACTGGCACAAATGATTCTTAAACATCAAGCTTAACTTAAGCGTACAAAATGCGTTCTACAATTTCCGCAGATATTTTGTGAAACATGTGCGATTGTAGTACCAGAATAATTTTGATGAGTAATGCTATTTTCATGTTGAGGCTCAAAACTTTTCAAATGACCCTCGTACAAAGAAACATATAGGATTTTATAATTTTTAAAGAATGTAAAGCAGTGGCAATTAGCAGTTGCAATTAGCAAAATTGTATTAAGTTGATAACATACAGTATTAAGTTGCGCAGGATCGGATCCGATAATTAAAAATATTAGTGCAATACAGGCGGCCTGAGTAATTGTCTTATCTGCACATAGTGTTCTTGCTAACGTTATAGTCGTTGATGATAAGGAAGCTATTTCATATATTTCATTAGACTCAAAAAATTCCTAATAAACAAATATAATCATAAATATCAAAAATATAAATACAAAGATTGTAATAAAAATGTATATAATATGATATAAAAAGAAAATGTAATATTAAAACAATTACGTATTAACTCCTAAAATATTTATATAATCAAAATAAAATAACATAACGAGAGTTAATATGCAATTATTAAAATGAACAAAATCCATAGATACAGTAGCAGGTTTCGTTAAGAAAACGAGTAGCGTTTAAACGAGACAGTACGGTATATCTATACGCGAAGCGGTCAGAGAAATTTCCGAGTTCTCGATTACTCTATGTAATACAAGAAATTAATATGTACGGTAGATGTGATGTTTTTATTAAACATTTTAATCAAAATTGAAATTTTGTTCTATAATTAATATCAATATTTTATTCTATAATCACCCACAAAGTTGCAATAAAAATTTTGTAAGAGAATATCAAATATTCAAAAAAAAGTTTATGCATAATATTATAAAAGATGATGTCTAATTTAATAATCTATTTATTTAATAGCCTTATTAACACTTTATTAATTATAGTCATATTAATAATGAATATTTTTTAACAAAAGGATTATGATAATAAAAAATTATTTTTCCATTAGAATATTATTAATTAATACAAAATTTATATGTAAAATATACTTTTATATCTTAAAATACGATTTGAATAGCTCTTTACAATCTTTACCTCAAGAAACTTCGGTACATTATATGTATGCAAATATTCCACAAGAGTAGGCATTTCATTTGACATAGCGATCGGAGCAAAACAGACTCCCAATTTTACTTGCATTGTATTCTGGTCTTGTGGATAGTAAAATAAAAAATACGGTAGTTCCCATCGAAAAACCGACATAATGCAGAAATTTTTGTTTTGTATTACTAAGTACATAATCAATCATAGCTGGCAGATCCCTCGTTCCTATCTCATGATAGCTAGACAGCAATAATATATTCTAAATCTGTAGCAATGAAAATTTTACTGCTAACAAAAATGAATATAATAGCAAAGTCATTGCTTTAAGTATAGATTTTCACTGCTATCAAGTTAGTCTGTCTACTCTTACATAAAGAAGTGGACTATTTCATTCGATTAATCGAAGTGGTTTAAGCATTAGTTGATAATGCATTGCAAGATGCATTGAATGTTACTGCAAGTGAATTTAGCAACATAGCGCATCGTTTGTTGTATGTTTTTCGTTTATCATCGTTACGAGCGAGATGCATCTTGAGACACATATGACATAAATATAAGAAACAGAATAAAATAATTAAAAATAAAATAATAATAATTAAAAATAAAGTTAATAGATTGATAGCATGTTCTATTCAAAATCTATCTCCGTAGGCTTTGTTATCTGAATTTGAAATGCCATGATTCTATCATTATTTAACTTACAAATTCATTTCTTTTTGGAGTAAATTTTTCACTCTAATTATTGAATGGATTTTTTCCATTGTAATAAAATTCATTGGCAGTAACATTGGCGTAATTGCCACTAATGTCTGTATTGAAATTTTAATAATGCAGTGAAATTTCATTGCTACAGATTTAGAATATAAGTTTTATTTTTTTATCATTATATCTTTATAGTACTGCAAAACCATCGAATATTTGGTAAAAAATTTGTAATTTAGCTTGGTCGATTTTTCTTAATAGAAATACAGTACGTCTTTGCACAATATTATGAATCTATTTTTTTATTAAAAAACATTGATTTTATTTAGAATTTTTAAGAAAAACTTAACTTGAATTAAATAAAATACGAGAAAAAATATGTTTAAATAATATTAAAAAATTGAGATAATAAAAAATCAAAAGTGACAAGAAATTTATTTTTTTTAAATAATACTTGCAAATATTAAAGATTTACCTATATTGTCAAAAGTTT